TATTGATTGTAAGCAAAACGCAGAATGAAAGAACACTAGATGGATAAACTAAAGCTGAGACACAATACAAGTTCCCATTAGCCAATCAACTAACGTGGCTTGAAAGCAGTAGCTGCATTTCCCAGATTTTCTATCAACACTGAGTCATATAAAAGCCTGTTAGTTTTAAATGTTGTGTATGAGTTGAAACTCTGGAGCTTACCGTCATAAATGAAGTAAGTGTCATCTTTGAAAACCAGCACAGCAGGCATTTCTCTCAGCACCACCGACTGCAAAAAGCACAAGTCTAAATCACTTCTTATCATGGACAAGTTTAATTGACAGGTATGATGCAGAGGAATTGAAAGACACCAGCAGAAAACAAAGGTAGAAACCATTAAAAAGACCAGAGCGGGTGTCAGGCTCGTTCGTCAGGTGACGCCTGTGTCCTGCACCCCGGCACAGTGCCCCTACCCCAACCCCATCATGGTGAAAACCATGGATTACACTTTGAGAAAGGGAATGGATCTAAAGACGGAGTGGGGAGAGAGAGAAGGGAGGCCCCACGCTGCTGGGAAAGCACAGCTGCGTTGCACTCTGCCCCACTCCCTACCGTCGGTGAGGCACCGAGCGAGTCCGCTCACCCGTCTGCTTTCTTTGTACAGTAAGAGCACTGATGACACCATGGCGGCAATGGGAACAGTATGCAAGGTCGTGCATTAGAGCACTGTTTACAATGGCAAATGTTTTATGAATGACAAGTTCTAATGATGATTAACAAGAAGATTCATTCAGAAGATACCCACAGTTTCGATCCGTGCTGTAATTATTTCAGACTAGTAAAATTACAGTAGAGAACTGGTATCAGGGAAGAAGAATTTTAATGAGGGTAAGTCTGCCACACAAGAGAGGCAATGCTGAAATAATGACTGGTCCATCAATAACAGGCTGAAATATTAGATAAAAGCATCAGAAACAGTAATGAAATAAATACTTCAGGAAGATTTAAAAAACAGGGGAAGGTAGGCATATCCCAGGATAGAGAAAATGACACAGAGTGACTTGATTACACTCCCTCTAAAAAACAATACAGAATCATGACAATGGCCACACTACGTGGTAAGGAAGGCTCTCAAAGCACACACCCATGTCTTCACCTGCTGGAGCCTAATCCACCAAGATGTTGGGCAAGTATTTTTAATATTTGTATCTCTCTTTCAAGGGCACGCTATGGCACATCTCTGCAACACCAAGGAAATGTCCAAACCCTGTGGCCCTCTAGTTCCATATTCCTTGTGCTTGCTCCTCTCCCTTGGATGGCTTCCAACTCACTGGCTTGTATTAGGATTATCTGTCTACATGTCTGTCCTCTTTATTCCTCTTCAAGTATCCAAGTCAGAACGTGTCCAATTCACCTCTGTATCCCCTAAGGGTTCATAAATACCAATTGTGAAACTAATAAAGATTCACATAACCAAACACTAAAATTCAAAATATAAAAGAAAGCATAAAATTACAGGCTTTGTCCTTCTTTGAATACTCTCTGTTCTGGTTACCTAGTGCCATTCTGACAAGAATATACCAAATGGGATGGCCTTAACAAACAGGAGTTTATCCTCTTACAGTTTGGGAGGCTAGAAGTCCGAGTTCAAAGTGCCAAGCTCTAGGTGATAGCCCCTTGACCTTGGGTTTCAGCTCTGCCTCCTGCTCCCAGCCCACTGAAGCTGGAGGTTTTTCTTCACTCAGCTGCTGGCTGCTGAGGCTGACAAACCCAAGGTTGACAAGTAACAGGGCACAGCCCCAATGTTACCAAACCACACAGCAGGCCATGGATTCATGTCCACTGAAAGTGCCAAGATCAGCTGAGCATGGCAGGCTGCTGAACAACGACACGGCGACATGCAGGGTTAAAGTGTTCCATAAGCTAGAGAGACTATCCCCAAAGCTTCTCCTTATATACAGGAAGCAGACTATATCCCTAAGGCAGCTTACTCAGCTGCTTGTGGTAGATCCCACCATGGAGGTGATTACCAGTCTCATCATGGGGAATACAACATCCAGCTGCCTAGCCACTCAACCAGGCCCAGCCAAACTGACACAAAAATTTAACTACCACACTCTCTACAGAAGTAAAAATTCTCATATTATTATGAAATAACTCTGCTTTTTCCTAGCAGACTCATGTAATTCATTCTCAGAACTAAAATAAAGAAATGAAAAACTCTGCAAGTGCCAGACTAATTAAAGAATGCTGGAAGGAACCGACAGAGAAAGTCAATAATGATACTGTAATGCGTAAGAATCAAGCATACCCTGCAGCATATGCTCCCCGCACCTACCCAGATGCTTGGGGTTCAAAGTACTGACCTAGGACACTTTGTGAAAAATGTCAGGTGTCTGAGGACTCTACTGTCTACCAGCGATTCAACAGACTTAAAAAAATACATGGCCCATGATAAGAACATAAAAAACAGTTGTTGAATAAAAAACTGAAAATGAGTTCAGTCTTGAAGGATTTGAGCCATCACTTGTCACTCCTGCTATTATTTCAAACAGAAAAAAAAAAAGAATTACTAAATGCTACGAATTGTGGGATATTTGGTTATTAATATAAACATTCTGATACCAATAAGGAGTTAACATGCTTTAGTTCCACAGTATTAAAGTGAATTAATCTGATAGATAAAATCAAGTAGTAAATTTAAAATATGAAATTGTGTCATTAAATTCATTTTTAAATATTACCTCAGGAACCACCTCTTCTGAGGCAGCAAAGAAGTATGAGTACACAATTAATTCTGAAGCCGCATCTACGTATTTCTCCTGTAAAGATGCCAACAAAAAGAGGTCACTTTTAAATATTATGCATCAAAATTCCTCATTAAACAGTCAGAGCAACCTATGCAATGAGTAGTATTATGCCAACCTGCTACCTGTACTTTTACATGAAATGAAGGAATAAGAGGAAAGGAAATAAATTGCTTGAACGACAAAAGATCAAGGCATAAAGTGCTTTTATCCTTTCCTAAATTAAGCTCATTAAATATAACGTAAGTTCAATTCATGCTTAGTAATTATATAGGAAGAGAAAGGAGTGACAGACACAAAAAGAGGTAGGAATGATAGGAGGCTGGTGCAAAGAGTTGAGTACCTGACCACTAACTGAAAGGCTGGTGGTTTCGGCCACACAGAGGCACCTCGAGAAAGCCCTGATGGTCTGCTTCCACACAGATGACAGCCAAGGAAACCCTACCGAGCAGCGCTACTGTCACCCACGCGGCTGCCACGAGCAGGAGCCGGAGGCTCGGTAACCTGTTTGTTTCCTTTGGTTTACTGGAACAAGTATGTGCACATGGCACATACACACACACATGTAACTATATGTGGGTGTACACACAGACACATGTATATAAAAAAATAAGCTAAGGACAATGGTCTTTTGCCTTGAGGAAGCTGACACCCGGACGGCAATGTGCAGTCCCAAAGCACCCCCAGTGTTGGGAAGCAACACAAGATTCAACAACCAGGCGGAGACCAGAAGAGAGAGAAAGGCTGGCAACACCACTGACCCACTTTTCACTCTCTTCTGTTTAAAGCAAACACTACACAAAATCATTTTTCTTAAAAAATATTGAGACTGAAATATTTCCAGTAACGGTAAAGTAAGTTTTGAGTTTTTGGTCTAGTCTTGGCTATGTAGCAGATTAAATAACAATATTAACAATATATCTGAATTTTGTGGATTAAAAAATAAAGTCATGCTTTACCTTCAAAGGTGACTCTCCACCCACATAAACGAAAAAGACACGGTGCCTCCTCTGCACATGTTCAAACATCTGCCTGCTTGGCAGTGGCCGGATTAGAGCCCTGTTTGAAAAAGAAACAAGCATGCACTGTGAACTAGGTACGTTACACAATTTATTCCTCTCTGTATGATGGCTTATCATATCTAAAGCTCAGTAAATCCACATTAAGTGCATGTTAAATGCACATGAAGTTCATCTAATGATAGCCAATGACGACTACCGTATCCGTATGTTAAAAAGGAAACCACCAAGTCTACCCACGCTTTAACCCATCACTTTAAAAGTAGTTCTAAACACACTCCTTCAGAGAGGACCATCTTAGTCGATATCTTGATAGGTAAAAATAGAACTATTACCCCGTTAGAGTTCTCAGCTAAGAACAAAACAAAACAATTCACGTGACAATTCATTTCTTTTCTCTTTCAAAAATCATCCACATAAACATTTTGTGAAATACCATATCAAGAATTTATGTTATATTAAGAATATTTATTTCTTAAGTTGATTTTAAGGCTATATAGTTTTAAAGAACTAACAGGTCTGTCCTGGAAGAACTGCAGCTGGAATGCTCCTCAGAGCTGAGAATGCCTAGACTTCGTCTCACCTACTTTGGTCATGTTGTCAGAAGAAACCATTCTCTGGAGAAGGATGTCACGCTTGGTTAAGTGGAGGGTCAACAAAAAAGGGAAAGGCCCTCAACAAGACGGACTGACAGGGTGGCTACAGTGATGGGCTCAGGTGTAGTAGGGATTGTGAGGCTGGCACAGGACTGAGCAGCATTTCGTTCTGTTGCACAGAAGGTCACTAGGAGTCAGAGGTGACTCACTGGCACATAACAACAACAACGATAGTTTGAAAATATCCTATATAGGTTAACACCTAAAATATTTCAGAAATATGTTACCAAATATTTTCAGGAAATGTAAAAGATGGTAGCCAAAGCTAGAGCACAAGATTCTCATTAGTAGGGGGAAAAAAAAAAGAAAGAAAGAACCATGAACAGCCAAAGACAAAATAGATAAACGGGGCCTCATAAAAATCAGATACTTTTGTTCATCAAATGACTTTTCAAGGACAGTGAAAAGACAACCTATAAACTGGAAGAAAATTTTTGGGAACCACATATCCAATAAGGGTTTAATATCCAAAATATATTTTTAAAAAATCTCTACAATTTAATAATAAAAAGACAAATAACCCAATCAAAAAATGGACAGAGGAGTTGAAAAGGTATCACACCAAACAGGATACTCAAACGGCCAACGAACAGATGAAATGATGCTCCAGGTCACTGGCCATTCCTATTGCCATCACACTGACTGCAACTCACAGTGAACCTGAGAAAGAGCCGAACTGTCCCACAGGGTTTCCCTGGTCATAATCTGTGCAGAAGCAGACTGTCACATCTTCCTCCCACAGTTCTGGTAGGTTTGATCCACTGGCCTTTCATTAGCAGCCCAGCACTCAGCTATGGTGCTATCAGAGTTCCTCCATTAGCCATTCAGGAGAAGCAAATCAAAATGACAAGGAGATACCATTTCACCCCCTCTAGGATGACTATGAGAAACGTTTATACAAGTGTGAAGTAATCAATGTCAGTGACTATGTGAGTAAATTGGTAACATCACTGTTCTGCTTACCTGGTGCCGCTCTAACAGAAATGCCACATGGCTTGAACAAACAGGAGTTTATTCTCTTACAGTATGCAGGCTTTCAGTCTGAGTTCAAAGTGCCAGGCTCTAGGGGCTGGGTGAAAGCCCCTTGACCTTGGGCTTCAGCTCTGCCTCTTGTTCCCGGCCCACTGAAGCTAGAGGCATCTTTTCACTCAGGCAGCTACTGGCTGCTGGCTGCTGAGTTTAACAAGCCCAAGGTCTTGGCACAGTCCCAATGTTACCAAACCACATGGCAGGCAATTAATTTAAGTCCATTCAAAGTCTCAAAGTTGGCAGACCATGGCAGGCTACTGAACAACGACACGGCTACGTGCAGGGTTCAAGCATGCCATAAGCTAGAGACCTCTTCCCAAGACATCTCCTTATATATAAGAAGCAGACCACATCCCTAAGGCAGCTACTCAGCTGCTCACAGTAGATTCCACCATAGAGTTGATTATGTCTCATCATGGGGAATCCTACATTCAGCTGCCCAGCCACTCAACCAGGCCCAGCCAAGTTGATACATAAACATAACCACCACAATCATTCATCGCTGGTGGGAATGCAAAAAAAGGTACAGACGCTGTTGAAACCAGTATGCAGTTCCTCAAAAAGTTAAACAAAAAACTACCATATGACCCAGCAATTCCATTTCTACATGTATACCCAAGAGACTAGAAAGTCCCAACACTAACAGACACGTGTACACCAATACTCCTTGCAGAACTATTCACAATAGCCAAAGAGTATGTGGAGTGAAGTCAGTCAAATGCAAAAGAACAAATATTGCATGATTTGATATGAAATAACAAGAGTCGGCAAATGTACAGAGAACAAAGTTTACCAGCGGCTACCAAGGGTGAGAGACAGGGAACGGGAGGTCCCCGTATGGAAGCAGTGAGTTTCTGTTTACAGAGATGGGGGATCTGGCAATGACTTCGGGTGATGGTAGCACCACCACATTGTGCACCTGAAAGCTGCTGAACTGGAAAATGTGTTTTGTATAGCTTTACAATGATTAAAAAAAAAAAAAAAGAATTTTATTATATGAGCATATTTCAAAAGCAACCAGTCTAAACTGAGAAATAAACCTCATCAAAGTCAGTATATTACTTATAAAATAAAATGAAAAAAACTAAAAGATATGGCAGGCTTCTTTTAAACATCAGTCTAAATCATTGCATTTTGCTCCATCATCAAATTTGCAAAAGAAACACAGCAAACATATTTTTAAAATGTACAAGATTGCATCAGTCCACTCTCGTTTCTATTAATACTTTAGTAATTAAGCAGTAAGTGATGTAACTCCAGAACTGACTCTTGAAATTTCCTACACATGAGAGTCACCTTCAGTTACCTCAGGAGAAGGAAGCCCTTTGTAATGGCAACTAAAACTCACTGCCAAAACATAAAGACCAACGTACCTGATGGGGAAATAAAATACTTCCCACAGCAATCTACTCATATAATTAACATTTTCTCAAAATTTACTTTTACCTACATACAAATCAAATGAAGGAAATAAAACATCCAATCAATGAGAAAAGATGGGAAAGAGAGTATTAATAAGCTCTGCATGTTAAATTTATAAAGATCATTCCTAGTTCTGTACCTTTTCTTGAATAATTTAAGCCAGGTAGCACATTACCACCTGACAAATCCATCCTAGTATTTTAATTTCCCTTGAAACTATTTAAACTTATCAAGATATCCTGCCAAATTCATAATTCTGCACATAGTTCCAAAGCCTATATTACATTAACTTATTTTGATAAGCACCTCTTCAAGAAGTTCTACTTATCACATCAAATAACTCCTTTCTTCATACTCCAGCCAAGTGCAGATTTTAAAAAACCCATTCTATTCAAATCAGCAAGCATAGTTTATAGAAAAATTTCTTATTGGTAAAATCTCAGAAGACCTGTAACGCAAAGAGATCTTTGGGTCCTATGTATGTCATGATCCGAGCCAAAACTGCAGTAACACTTCACAGTTGGCATAAGGTAGCTTGTGAAAATATTTTAGCTGAATCTCAAAAACATTTAAAGTATCACAGGCAAGGCACTGAAGTCTCGTTTATCCAGAACAATAACCTGTATTTCTTTTAAAACTCTGAAATTAGGTAACAAAAAAATTAATGAAACCAGACAGTACAAAAGAAAAATTTTCAAAAAGATTAAGATTTATAAAACTTTTAGTTAGAATCAATCAAAATTTTAAAAATGTGTTAAAAATACACTGGGAAAATATTTTTTCTTTAAATTTGAATGTTAAGCAGTAGTTAATACAAATCCTTTTCCCTTTTTCTTTCTTCAAAGCATCCGTCTGGATCATATCACATGACCTTGTCTTTCTAAATAAATAAGCAAGTGAGCAAATGCATTTCATTTAGCTAAGTGCCTAATATGTGCATAACATGGTCCATGAGAATACATTTCCTTTTCAGGTATCAACATATGATAGTAAAGGCTGTTCCTCAGAACAACTCACCCCGATACTCTGTGAGCAAAGTCAATAATATCATCTTTAGTCCGTGGTCCTCTGTAGTTGTATGCCAAGTCCCCCTTTAATCTTAACAAGAAAAGAAAAAGAAGAAAACAAAAGATAAGCACTTGGGTTATTTAAACTGTTTCAATATTTAATGCTAATCATTATGTGTGACTGCACAAACTTACTAAATGCAGAGGGGTATGAAAAGGAGTACCACCCCTGTAACAAAAGACCATCCCATACAGCAAACAGGCAACTCCTAACAGAAATGAAACAGCTGCATTCCACTGATGTACAGAAAGGGCTGTGTACCGTGTACCCACGCTGTGCCTGGGACTCCTGAGACAAGACTACATCACATGTTCAAGAGCAGGAGTTTGGAAAATTAAAGCACTTTAATGCTCACTATCTCCCCTATCAAAACAAAAGGACAGGGAATGAAGCCCACACTGACAGAGACAAGCACATTTTAAAGCCATCCAACATCTCTGTATCCTCCCATCTTGATACTCCAAGATTACAGAGGAAAACCATGTATGAAAACAACTCTTCTAGAAAATCACGTAATTTTCCAAAAGCACGCCATGGAATTAAGTCACGTGTCTAATTAACTAAAATTAAAAATATAATAATAAATACGCAGACAGACACAACACTGGTAATTAGAATGAAAAGCAAGAAAACTGCACCTAACCCAAGAACGTAAAGGTGCTTAGGAGACACCTTTATAAAGCGAGGGAGGGCCCATAAAGCCCAAGGAAAACTAGTAAATTCTGAAACCAGTTTATGAAAGCGTATTTTATTATAGAAATAGGTTCCAAAACAATTTCTCACTCACTGTCTTACAAAATAAGGTTAATAAGAATCATGAGCAATTCAATGTAACCATGATTCCCAAAAGCCCTTGAGAATTATCACACCATTTCCTCTAACTTGTACCACTCTGCATTAGACTCAGTCAACACCTACCAAATAAAGTTAACACCCATCGGTTTTGATTCCGCTTGTTTTTTTAAACCCTAATGAAGAAGTCTAGTTTAACTGAACAAAAGCCAAATTTGTCAGGAGGCGAGATTTACTAAGATAAAGTACACAGTCACACTGCTGACAGGCAGGGGCGTCGCAGACAGGCTGTGAGCACTGGCCCGCACAGCAGTCCTGCACCTGCCAGTCAGCACTCAATGCAAGGTCAGTGCAGTGACAGGAAACCCCCTTGTGCTTAAATGTGAGGACAACTATCAGGATACAGTCCTCTCCTCTGATTACACACTGCACCTAAAAAGAACTGTTGAACCAATCTTCAATCCTCTTAGGAAACTACTACCATGTAAGAAACTAAGTAGCGTGAATAAATGAAAAACATAAACATACAACACAACTTACAGCTTGATTGTTGGGTAACCACGGACTCCAAACTCTGCTGCAAGGCCTTGAGAAGAGAAAGATGCATCATTCTAAATTTCTTTTAAAAAATAAGAAACAAGGCAATAAATGAGCCTTTTACTTAAAAAATACATTTACTTATACAAACACATTTTTAACTCCTAAAAAAAGATTATGAACACACAAACACAGCATTCTAGTACAAAACAATTTTACTTAAAATAACCTAACCTGTGGTCTGCACAAAATACTATGACCAAAAAAAAAAAAAGCCAATAGTTAAAATATTATTTCTAAATTATTTTTAAAAATATTCTTATTAAAAATAATTAAGCCCTACGTCTCATTTAACTTCTTTCTAGGGCAAGTATCTCTTCTAGGTCTCATCCCCTCCTCTAAAAAATGGCTCAGCACTTCCTTTAAAAGAACAATAACAAATAAAACCTAAACCCCATTGAGTTGACTCAGACTCAAGGAGACTCTATGCATTACAGAACAGATCTCCATAGGGTTTCCTTGGCTATAATCTTTATGGAAGCAGATCTGCTGGTTGTGCTCAAACCACCAGCTTTCAGGTTTTGTAGCACTTGAGCCAGCAGGGCTCCTCTCCCTTGCTTTAATGGATCCTATTTTAGGAGAGTCTGTTTTCGTAATAACCTAGGATAATTCTAAGTATCTCAAAGGTTACTTGGCAATCTTCCCATTAATTAAAAATGAAAAATAATTGCTTCAGTGACATTTGTTATGGCTACAACAGCAAGAAATGGTGTAACAAAAACAAACAACAAGGCACCAGGGCTTTAAACGGTATCCCAATCACAACAGCACATGAACACTATGCTACTTCATCACCAACTCAAACCAGCACAGACAGCAATGTATTTCTGGCTAACAGCCAATAGAGTACTGACGGAACTCTACCGGTGCACCTAAAGGAAACTGGGTTTACTCCCACGATCTCTGCCTTTGAAATTTCCTTTACTCCTGGCACATTTTCTTATCCCAGTTGAGAATGGGAACTGACTTCTACGTCTGGGTTCCCGTACCAATACATTTCATGAACTGCATTAACCTTGGTTTCTCATCACTTCCCACCAATTCACTAAAGAAATGACGACAGAATGAATCTGTGGCAAAATAATAACCAAAATCTCTCTCCCTTCTTTTGTCAACTCTCCAGTGTCTCAGATATACACAGAGAGAGGTGACAGGAAGGGACTGGACACAGTGGCTAACATTAATTTTATATAAGGCAAAAGGCAACAAAAACAGGAACTCAAGTTCTGAAGATAAAGGTTCTGCCCGACTGATCACATGAACTCTGACCAATCACATCCTTTCTCTGTGCCCCATCTCCAATTTAGGAAAGACTTACTTCTCTAACTATTTTCTTATTGGAGAGGAGTGCTGTTACTGAGATTGTCTTTTTCCGAAAATCAAAAATTAAATTTTGAGGACATATGTGAGTAAAGCATGTTCTTAATACCCCTCCCCCAATTAAGGGAGCAAATAAATACAAGACTTAATTACTGTCACTAAAATTCATTTAAAAACTGCCAAAACATGAAGATCAATGTAACTGATGGGTTAGGGCAGTCAGTACAGCCCTCTAGCAATACCCTCATATAATTTAAAATTTATTTATACACAAATTACATAAAGAAAATGAAATACACAACCTAGGAGAAAAAGCAGTGGTGGTACTTTAGAAAATGATGCAGAGGCTCTCCGAAACAATTCCGGCCCCACAGTAACCCCATCCCTTAACTTCTTTGACCTCAATTTCCATCTCCAGGAGGTGGGGATAATTCCCTCCACCTGACAGCCCCTTGACGACCTGTTCTTCATTTCATAAAAGCTGGAAGGACACTGACTCCTAAAATGTCAGCTTTAGTTTCCCCCAGAGGGGAATGATGCTCTAATAAAACAAGCAAAGACACGAAGACTGGGTTACAGATAGTAAGGACTCGCATTATAAACCAAAAATCTATTAGTTTGGAGACAGTGGGTATCTTAATACTTACTGATTTTCTCTTTTTTTAATTGTGATTTGGGTGAAAATTCATAGAACACATTCATTTTCTATATAGCAGTTCATACACTCTGTTTCATGACATCGATTATAATCCCTGTAATTTAACGGCTCTCTTCCCACTTCCCCCTTATGGTTACCTTTCCCATGTCCTTCTTCCCTATGTACTCCTGCCCTCTGAGCTATCTCTCTGTACAGATATTGCCCTTCTGGTAGCCGACGATTCATGTTCTAAGGAGTGGATCTACATGTTGTAAAAGTTCACCTTATATGCCTGTCTACCATTTGGCTGGAAGCCACAGGAGTGAGTTCAATTCCAGGCCTGAAGGGTGTCAGGGGCCATAGTCTCAGGGGTTTCACAAGCCTCTATCAGACCACTAACCCTGGTCTTTTTTATGATTTTGAGTTTTGTTCCATATTTTTCTCTCACTCTATCCAGGACCTCCTGAACCCCTTTCTGAGTGGTTTATAGAGTGGTAGCTGGGCACCATCTAGTTCTTCTCATCTCATGGTCATGAAGGCTGAGGCTTGCATGGTCCACTAGTCCCTTGGACTAACTCTTTTCCTATGTCTTTGGTTTTCTTCATTCTTCTTTGCTGTGGATGAGGAGAGACTCATTGTTGCACCTAGATGGCCACTTGCAAGCTATTAAAAGCCCAGTTGCTACTCACCAAAGCAGAACATAGAACAATGTTTTTGTGTAGTATGTTATGCCAACAGAGCTTGATGTCCCCTGCAACCATGGTCTCAAGTCCACAGGACCAACAACTCACTCCCTCAGGGTGGGTGGCTGTGGCTAAGAAGTTATCATAACTTTGCCACCTGTTAGTTCTATTCATATGGGCATTCTTGTAGCACATACAAATACATACATAGAAATAACATTTGCCAAACATATATGGTCATGGGTTTTTATTCCCTTTTGTCTAGACATACCCGACTTCCTTTTATACATACTAACTCACTGCCCTCGAGTCTGCTCCGACTCACAGCCCTCGAGTCTGCTCCGACTCACAGCAACCCCTCCTTGGGTTTCCGAGGTGGTATCATTATGTAAGTAGATTGCCCAACCTTCCTTCCGAGGAGTGGCTGGTGGGAAGGGAATATTTTTTTCTCTACAGCATACTAAACATCCCAATGATGCTATAACTGAGTGAATAACACATCTGTCATGAACATCTGACAGGAGCCAGCAGTACAGAACACTGTGAACGTTACAGTAGTTACTTAGGTTTACTGGTTATTGGTCGTCTCTCCCACTAGAGGACAAGGTGCACGAGAGCAGAACATGTGTCCTCCCGGCTCACTCATGTGGGGCCAGGGCCCCGGATGCAGTAAGTACTCCTCAGGCATGCAGAATAACAAATGCTCACCTGCCAACTCTCCCACAACAGAAGGATCTTTCAATAAACTGTGTCTGCTTATCCAAGCAGTCATAAGGCTTTCCAAAGCACCATGGAGGCTGGGGTGCCAGTTGAGAGCCGGGTGGAACAGGTACAGCATTCCATGTTCATGGAACACCCACCATAGTGCCTGACACACAATGGGACCCAGTGTATATGACGCCATTCCCCAAGCCTGACGGTCTGTGTGAAAAAACGTGTTACACGTATGTGGCCCCTACGCTGTAAACTCCTGCCAGGGGTTTTTAACTATTAATTCAATATAATGTACAATACTAAGTAAACGTGAAATAAAATCTCCAATGATCATGATGTCACAAGCAAAAAGTATACCTAAATTAAAAATACAAGTTTCATCCAGCTCCTAAAGAGCTGAAAATTGTATATGAAGTCTTAAGATCCATAAGTATACTGCTTTTCATTCACATTTAAAACTTTTTTTTCTAAGCTAGTCAGAAAAAAAAAAACTAGCTGTTTTCCCTAGTCCTCTCTCTCTCTCTCTCTCACACACACACACACACACACACTCTCTCTCTCTCAAACACACACTCTCTCTCTCTCTCTGCCCTCGAGTCAGACCTGACTCATAGCAACCCTTCCTTGGGTTTCCGAATTGGTATCACTATGGAAGTAGATCAGCCAACCTTCCTTCCGAGTAGTGGCTGGTGGATTTGAACCACCAGCCTTCTGGTTAGCAGTCAAATGCTGTAGGCACTAAACCACCAGAGCTCCCTTCCCTAGTCATAGTACCACTTAAGCAGTGACATAAAGTGACACTTAATAAATATTAAAAGTCAACTAATAAATTCTATACATTAATAAAGATTTCTTGGTTTAACGTAAACCTGCTAATAATGCTTACTGAAGTATCACAAGAGTAGCTTACCACTAAGATTTTTTTTTTTAAATTTCTGTGCATAGTGCCTAAGGCATCTGACTGCAAACCAGAAGGCTGGCAGTTCAAACCCACTAGCCAGCCACTCCTCAGAAGAAGGACTGGGCAATCTATTTCCGTAGACATACCACCTCGGAAACCCAAGGAGGGGTTGCTATGAGTCTAACCAACTCGACGGCAGCGAGTTTGGTTGTTTTGGTTTGTGCTTTGTTTCTCAGGTTGACTATTTTTCTTTATTTTCCCACACTCCTGAATGCCTGATTCTATTACCTCATCGGACAATTCAAGCGATCACAAGGATTTACCTTTTTAAGATTTTATTACACTTTTCTGTTTTTCCATCTTTTTCCCTCTATTAGACTGTAAGCATTTCCAGGGAAAGTAATAATTGTTTTCTCCTTTCTTCAATTTTTATAGACTAGTACATGGCTTGAAAACAATAGGTAGCAATTTAACAGTGACTAAGTGAATAAGTGAAAAAATCTACACATGGATATAGGTAAGTATGCATGCATGTTAATTAATACATGTCCAGCCATAAGAACTTATTTATTCATGAACAATAGTTGGAAGACATCCTAAGGAACATTTCTCAAACATTGTTAAAAGCCTATTTCAGGAAGGATCAACTTTCCCTTCTCTAGGAAGTTCCAGTCCTTGATCTTGTCTCCTCTCAGAGTTTCAAGTTACTTTCTATGACTCAATAATCCCAGCTCTGACGTCTCACATACACTCTTGGTCCCTACTTCCAAACACTACTAAGCACAACAGCACAAATTTAGAATAGCCGCTAATATGCAAATGCATAAAAATTAAACACATCATTGTTTTCCACATAACTTGTGGCTGACAGTTCTGCACTGAGGCTAAGAATCTGTACTGTTACTTTCCTTCTTTTCTACACCAGAATGCCAACGTACCACAGCTATGAAGCCACCCTTAAAAACAACTTTAGGAATTACTGTTCCTCCTCACTCCACTGCCACCATCCAGTCACGGGCTCCCAGCATCCCGTACTCATACAAAGTCGACATAAGTGATCTTCCTGCTTCAAACCACTCTTCTTCTTCTCCTCACTTGGGACCCCCAAGCACATTTTGATGAAGTCATTTGCCTTCTCAAAAATGTGTTTACCTGTTGACAACTAATAAAATGAAAAGCACCTGAAAGGCCCTTTGCAACCTGGTCATATCCTTAGCACCCTATATATGCTAGCTGTCATGCTTTGGGTTTTTTAATATAAAATGCTCATACAACCCTCACAACCTTGAGCACTAACACTCTTTCACAGACATGGAAACCAAGAAAGGTCAAGCCCTTTCCCAAAGCCACAAAAGGGGGACATGGCATGGCTAATATGCAAACTAAGGTCTGTCTGGCTCTGATGTCTAATCTAGAACACAATGCTAATCTCCTGAGAGGAAACACACACTGTATACTTGCACTTCCCTGGTTACCTGAAGCTACATTTATTGAATAGTACAAAGGGCTTTATGTGGCCTACATCAGTCAAATTTCAAAGCAACCAAGATGACAAGTATCACAATGACACATTTACCAACGTGGAAACCAAAGCTCAGAGTCCGGAGACCCTCCATGGCTCACATACTGAAGCAACACGCAGAGCCAGGTCTGGAATCCAACTCTGCTCCCTGAAGCCATGCTTCTTCCAAATGTCCACACATGTCCTATTGTCTCCTTTCCCCAAACTCTCCAAGTCGAGTTCTGGCAAACTTTTTTTTGACAAAGGGTCAGACAGTGAACAGTTCAGGCTTTGTGGGGCACACTTGTGACTTGTCTGTCACAGGTACTCGACTATGCCACATGAGCTTAAGAACTGTCACAGATGACAGCAAACCAGGAGAGTGGCCACATCGCAACATAATTTTACTTAAGAAAACAGGCGGCAGGCTAGCCTAGGCACACGGGCCAGTCTGCCAACTTGTTTAAAGACATGCTGTTCTGTGACACATGCTCAGATGCTTGTTGTCAACTCTGTGATTCTGCTCTAATACGCTCTCTGATTTGAACACCTTCCCCACCCTCCTGTCTCCCGACCCTAGCTCCTCTCACCCTCTACGTTCTCACCTACCCTTCATGGAGGCACTTCAGCCTACTCTAGCCAACACCACAGTGATTCACAGCAGCATCAAAGTCCACCCTTCAATGGCCTGTCACTGCTGCCCGTCAGCGGGCATCTCCTCAGGCAGGCGCAAAGTGGGGACAGTGACTTACACACTTCTGTGAGTGGTAAGATCAGCATGTTAATACAGCAGACACCCGATGGCTAATTCATTAAACTCATAAAGTACACAGTCTTGAAGCATTAAAATAACTTCCAGTTTATATGAGCACAGAAAACGTCTTCGTCTCACCCTAAACACTGCTGAGTATAAGGTAAGTAATCTGTGTAACGACAGTAACAAAGTAACAAACAGAGGCAATGCTTACTGGCATAGGATGTAGCATCCATCTTCCCAACTTTCACCGGAGAACCCATGTTTTTCATCTCAATCCCAACTTCATTCCAAATCGGTTCCAGTTTTTTACAATGGCCACACCATGGTGCATAAAACTTGTTATGGAAAAAAGAAAAAAAAAAACAACCACTTAAATGTTCTGCTACAGTGAACAGCCATCTTAATTTTTAAAGAGTTAAAAATTAACTCTGCCTAATGATCTCCTAATAATCTGTTTTACACAAAACCTTAAATGTAACTTCTGAAGTCATTATGCAACAATGAAATGCATACACTTAGAGCCAGACAGGTTAACTCTGGTATAGACCTGCCACGAATCTAAGTGTATTTATTGAAACGCTTTTAAACAGACCTAACAATACACAGTGACAATGTCTTTGCCTTCAAGCAAATGTGCCCTGTTCTCCATGAAATGAAGCCACTCAACGCACAGCCACACGCCGTACGTAGACCCCTGGAGAGCTGATGATAAACGCCAATCTACTTCCAACACAAGAATTCCCGCACAGTCGGCGCCTTTGCTGTCTTTCAGCCATGGGGAAGGCGTGACAGATGTTCAGGTCAGGTGATGAAACTCCGGTCACAGCCTTCCTTCTCCTTCGGGATCACTAGTCGGCTAGCATGGCACCCAAGTTTCCCAAGTACAACAGGGTGGCAGATGGACTGTTGCACATCCACGAAATAAAATTTATTTCTTCTCTTTATAATACTGAAATACTCAAATATGCACAAGAGGAGGGAGAAAGACTTGAACCACAGCCGTGGGTTCTGCCGCCGTGTCCCCGTCGCTGTCCACTTTGCACTGCTGCATCCTACCTCTCTTGCTGCCACTCTACCTCTTCTTGCTAAAGTAGCTTAAAGGGAGTCCCAGATGCACCAAGGTTTGAACATATTACAGACTTGAGAGTAAAGAAAGGGAGATGAAAATTTCACTTTGTTCAGATGAAAATATGATATTGGCTACTAAGTGTTATTAATATACTCCCTCCCTCTCCAGGGAAATACGAAGAAACAAGAGTGAATTCTATAATAAAATTATATCATAATCTCCTTAGATATAACCCAAAAGTAAAACCCATCAGAAAACTATATTCCTGCTTCCCTAATACCCCTGCCCCCAGAATTTCTCACCCAGGACCCGAAAGCTCAGGGGTTCATTTTAATACATGAATCCAAATAGCAATAACTGAGGGAAAAAAAAAAACTGAGTAACACACATAAGCACGTACTGTCTGTGAAGCAGAATAGAAAATAAAGTAGTAACAGAGGATTAAATAGAAGACAAAATTTACAAACTTACATCCACAAGCCAAATGTCATCTTTTCGACTTTCTTTAAACCTAAAAACAAAAACAAGAGATTTGATTAATCTTAGATTATATGCTTATATCCACTTCACTGCTGTATGGTATAACACGAAACCCAAACCCATTGTCTTGGAATTGATTCTGACTCACAGCGCCCCTAGAGGACAGAGTAGAACCGCCCCAGAGGAATTATAAGTCTGTCATCTTTAGAGATGCAGACTGCCTCATCTTTCTCTGGTACAGTGGCTGGTGGGTTTGAACAATCAATCTTTCAGTGATGAATGTATGAGCCTGGAACAAATTATTTTCAACAAATTTTTAGGTAAGCTTTTTATCCAGTGACCTACCTCTAAATCTAATCCCACCCATTAAACACTTGAAGAATCTAAGTAGAGAACTAAGAGTACACTAATGAGGAGGAAAGAAACTAAGAATGAAAGTGGGACTTGGTGGAAAGACATTCACACCTGTGCACACCTGTGCAGAAGGCGACCCAGCAGGCCAGGTACGTCCTTGGATGAGCCTGCCTGCCAGGCTCAGCATGAGCTTGCACCTGGGAACCTGGATGTCAGGAGGGTTCCCACCACTTTCTGAGAAGGGGCTCACTGTGCCGACCGTGTCTGTGCTAGCATGTGACTTCATGCTAGCACCTGCTTTCCCTCTGGGAGTCTGGAATTCTGGCACCTGGTTGGCAGAGCGTGCCGAGGACTGGCCCCAAGAAACACCCTGAGCACCAAGTTTCTAATGAGTTTACCTGATAGACAACGTGTCGCACATGTTGTCCTAACTCCTGCTGGAGGAGTTAGGTGTGTGTCGGTACCCCTCCTCCCCTCTCCCCCAGGAGGCCTCGTGGAAGGCCCTGCGTGGTTTCCTTCAGACGGGGCCCTGTGAACCTTTCCCTTTGCTGATTTTGCTCTGTATCCTTTCACTGCAGTCAATCACAGCTGGGACCTTGACCACACTGAGTCCTAGAGTCCCCCCAGCAAACCACTGATGCTGGGGGTGCTCCTGGGAACCTCGAGTGGCAAAAATCTTCCTAAAGCCCCTTTCTGATCTTGGTACTCTTACTGACACCTTCTATGGTCTCTGTGATTGACTCAAGTGCTACTGGTTTATGGTCCCCTAGAACCTAGGGAAAAAAGTCCCAACTTCTCAACTTACCTCTGACTTCTTTTTCCACTCAAAGATAAATACCCCGTAATTTTCTGCTGCAAAAGACCTCTGGAAAGTTTTAAAAAGCAAAGATGTCACTTGGATAACTAAAGTGCACCTGACCAAAGCCATGATTTTTCCAATCATCTCATGTGCATATGAAAGGTGGACAAGAAAAAAGACAGAAAAATTGATGCATTCGAACTGTGGTGCTGGAGACGGATACTGAATAGACCGTGGACTGCCAGAAGAACGAACCAATCTGTCCTAGAAGAAATACAACCAGAATGTGCTCGCTTCTAAGCGAGGATGGTGAGACATCAGCTCACTTACTCTAGACGCAAGATCATGAAAAGTCAATGTTGGAAAGGACATAATGCCGTACATGAGGAGCACCCTTAGTCAGGTGGCCTGACACAATAGCTGTAACAAACGACTCAAGCACACTAAAGGTCATGAAGGTGGGAAAGGACCAAGTGTTGTTGTGTCCTGTACTACATATAGTAGCCTTGAGGTATAGGTGACCCATGGCAGCTACCAACATGACTTCCAGACCACTCTCACCAAGATTCCGTGGGAACAGTCACGTGGTTGGGAAGACAGGTGAGGGCTTATTTCCACAAGGGGCCACATCAGTGCTGCGAGTGGAAAAGTCACTGATGACTGTGGGGCTCAACCAGCTAGAAGCCTCCAATGGGCAGAGCCCTTGAGTGGAAGTGAAGAATCTCTGTAGGGCAGGGTGCATGTGGAAGGCAAGGCTGCCACCAACCCAGCCCACACACCCCTGCCCGCAGGCCCTGCGGCCCTCCTGCAGATATCCAGATTACCCATCCAGGACAGGCACAAGCTGACACTCGGGCAGCCATTTCCCTTCCGCAGTGTCAGAGGCCAGCTACAACAATGCCCTGGATGCAGACTAATAAAGCCGGGGTACTGCAGGCACCAGAAAGGTCCACAGTCAGGGAAACATCCATTGGTGGTTTTCAGTGGCCTGGCAATCAGATTATGATCTGTGGGATCAGGCACTGAGAGACGTCCAGGAGCTCATTAAATTCAGGGCATGGAAACTGCCTGAGACAAGCTTACCAAGAAGTCTGGCAAGACCAACGTCGCAGGGGCTCCTCTGTGAAAGAGGTGAAGCACAGAGCTCTTCTACTTCCGTCCCCCATATCAGGGCTCTCTGGGCCACAGAGGCTTGCATCCATTACTAGGGGGCTCCTCTCCACGGACAGCGATGTGCACACTAGCTCCTGTCCACGAACAAGAAGCATACCCACAATCTCCCAGAGTAGTGAACCCAAATCTTTTGGCTTGGATCTTCTTGTGGTTCAGGATTTTTTACTGTGGTTTCTATTTCACATATTCACTTCTATTCCATGGGACTAGCCAGGGAAAAGCAGCAGGGAATCTGTTGAACCAGAGATCTCAAATTGACAGTATTTTCAAGGTCCTTGTAACCAAAAACCCATGCTCTGCACCTGGGGGTAACCAGCGGTTACTGTCATTCACTTCTTGCTGTTTTCACAGCTCCAATATTGAGTCTTCAGCAAGCGGTCAAAGGGACAATGACCTAGCACCCAAGTGAAATTCCAGGCTCTACGCAGAAAGCTTGGCCAAACATGCAGTGCAAACAAGTGCCCTTTCAAGGAACTGCTGCTTCAGATCTCAGGCTACAAGCGTGAGATGTTTAGTCCAATCTGGAGTTACCTTGTTCCCTCCCATCAGCCATGTAAGCAAGTCCTTAACTGTCCATTGAAGTGTCCAGTCAGCCTGGAGCATGAACAGTTCATCACATGCCCCATGATTATGTCACAAACCAAGGGCCCTACCAGATGCAATATACTCAAGAAAGCCAAGCTGGAACGAAATACGGTCTTATAGGGTGTGGACAGAACAGTCCAGGTCGTGCTTGGCTGCTAACCCAAAGGCAGGTGGCTCAAACCCCCAAGCTGCTCCACAGGACAGAGACGAAGCAGTCTGCTTCCGAAAAGATCACTGTCTATGGCATAGTTCTACTCTGTCATATAGGGAGACTCTGAGTGGGAAATGACTTGAGGGCAATGGGTTTGGTTTTTCAGGTTACCACCTAGACAGTGTGGTCTGAGTCTGTGGTACACACAGGGATGGCTAGGTCAAATCTGGAGAAAGTGTTAACTGTAGTCAGTGTCCAGCAGAAACTTCTAGACAGGACAAGGAGCCCAATATCATACATCTGCCAAGAACACCCTGGCCTACCAGCTCAAGGGATCTGCCCCTAGGCAATACTGTAGCCTTGGCCAACATCTAGCAAGAGGTACAGCTTTTCTATGCTGTGTCACTATCATCTCGTGACAGTCACCATCTGTGTGTGTATAGGCTCAGTCTAGGATGGTATCTGAATCTCCACGGCGGTCCTCTCGCAGCCACACATCTGCTTGCTCTGGGCTGAGGACAGTCAGTCTCCTCATTTAGTTGACAAGTGCAGTCTGCTTCCTGGTTACACTGCCCTTCATCAGTAGAGGGCTCTTCCTGGTGACCATTCCCATGTGTAACAGGAAGGTTGTTAAGAAGAGAGCTGATTTTCCTCCAAATGTCTATCCCCATGGGGGTGCTTTTACATGCCAGGCTATGGCTTTCCAGTGGCCCAACCAAACAGCCAGGCTGCTAGCCACAGTCCTAAGTCAGTGAAAATATGTACAGCCAATTGCTTTGGTGGAGTAGCCTGGGTAGCCACCATACTGCATGAATCTCTGCCCATTGTGGCCAGTTTCCTTTGCCACACTTGGTACAGGACAAGTCTCTTCCAGGTTACCTTGCAATGACACCCCATTTCACCCCAATACAAGTTAACTGACAGGAGCCATCAGTGAGCCAGGCTCATGTATTGTCTGCAAGGTCTATCTGGGAGCTCAAAGGGCAGTGGAGGCAGCAGATCATCGGGCAATAGCCTGGCAGGGACAGGGTACTCCTGAGACTAGAGCGGATTCCAGACGCAGCTACACAGTAATTTGAGGGCTCTGCTCAGACCAACACGATCGGGATCCCTGGTCATGTCAGGCCTTCACTGCCATGCTCCTGCGCTCACGATCCACTAAGTACAGAAGAGGACAATAGTTGTCTGTTAAAAAGTGTCCATCTTTCACCCAGCCCCAGGAACTCAGGGGTCCAAAAGCACACTGGGCATTGCTGGCCTACAGTGATTAATTTTCTGCCACAGGTTCCAATCTGAGAGATTGTTGAGACCTGTAACTCAGAGCAAATGTGGGTGGTTGAGGGCCAAAGGAAGGGCACCACGAGTGGCCTGCTGATGGCCCCACTCAAAGGTAACAGCACTTCCAGTAACCCATCAGATGGGTGCCAGTAGCAGTAAAGGCCCTCTAATCTCTGGTCTTTTTTTTAGTTTTCGGGGCAGAGAAGCCCAAAAGTCTGACAACCTTCTCTGTTTCGAGATGTTGTCACTACTTCACTATACCCAGGAATTTCACTTGGGCACTAGGTCCCTGTCCCTTGTCTGTGTTAATGGCCCAGCTATGTCACCGTACGTGGCTCATCAGGACGTCCAGTTCTCATTGGGTGTTAACTCCATCTGGGCCCATAAGGAGGATGTTATCAAGGCCAGTACCCCCTCCAGGAGTGGGACTTCCTCTAATCATAAACGATGGATGGCAGATAGCTAGGGAATTTGGGTGGTTTCATGGAACAACATTAAAGGTACGTTGCAGCCCACTTCCCATGAAGGCAGTCGATCCTGATCATCCGAGTGCAGGGGTTAGGATAAAAAAGGCAGCTTGTGCTATCAATTGCTGAGTATCAAGTTCCTGCAGCCTGGGTGAGAGCCACTGTCACAATCACAATGCTGGGTACCACCAATACTGAGGGTGGCACTACGGCTTGAGTGCCTATAATCACTGGTGAGATTCCAGGCCCCCGATGCCTCGTGCACAGGCAGACCGGTTCCCAAATGGGGATCTCCTGGAGCAGTGCGGCTTCCTGCAGCTCAGAGATCAGCAAAGTTAACTCTCTTTCTCCCTAGGGAGGCTGATACTATTTTGGGGAGACAACTGTGCTGGGCATTGGTATTGTTTTAGTTGCCAGTGAGTCAATTCTGACGCATGGTGACACCAAGTGTGCAGAGCAGAACTGTACCACAGGGTTTCTAAAGCTGTGGTGACCCTTCTGAAGCACATTGCCAGGTCTGTCCCAAGGCGCCTCTGAGTGGGCTAAGAATTGAGCTGGTGGTAGAGCTCGTAGTTGAGTGCTTAACCCTCCTGCCACCCAGCTCCCACAAAGGCGCAGTTCTCCATACGCCCCCTAAGATGACCCTCCTGCAGCAATTCCCACCAGATTTTGAAGGTGAAGGTAAGTGAATGTGCACAGACAATACATCAATACTAACACCATGTTCAGCAGAGGGACTGTTGAAATAAAGGTCTGCAGGAACCTGCAGGTTAGCTTCACTGAGGCAAAGGTCCCAGCCTCTGTGGCCTTAGACCCCAAACCCGTGAACAGTACCTGTGTTCCTCCCACTCTGGGGCCAGGAGCTGCCGGGAGCATGCTGTACACTGGTATCCAAAAGGCCCATGAAGCACAACACTCCCTCAACTCTCCCACTGAACCCTGTCCTTGGCATGGGACCCTGGAGCCCCCTGGGACAGAGGAATCGCAGCCTCACCCCTAGTCCTGCTTACTTCTGAAAGCTGAAAGGCCCAGCTAAAGGCTGGAAGGGCTGTGCCAATCCAGACTCAGTCACAAGACGCACCAGTGGGCTGCCTGCAAGATCCTGGGGTCTATTATTGGCTGACAGTGTCTTGGCAGGAAGCCTATCAATCTCCTCCTCTTATCAACACACTGGACTGTGTCTTTTCAGGAAGGCCCTGACCAGGTCACCACTCTTCTGCTGGTCAACCTCTGCCATCTTGGCAGTAGCTGGTTTTTCTATGATTGGGAATTTGTCAGTTAAAATCTGGATAATATTATGGACTGACCGACCTGACCTCATGAGAAGGTTTCACTGGGCCAAGTAACCAGAAAGAGCAACATGGAAAAACCTACAAATCTGAGTCAGGTTAACAGTCTCATGACCCAACTATCCCCAATCACTCATTATAGACCCCAGAGACCACCAGTGTGGGTCATAGGGATGCTACAGCCTGAGAGCATAGTCCAGATACATTTCTCGGTGGCAGAAATTCTTCACAGGTGGCACAGATGTATCAGAGCCCAAACAATACCCAGCTGAGGGCACAGTCAGTTCACCCCCTCTCACCAGCCTTCTCCTTAGGCAAAGACAGACTTCCTGTCAGGGCATCTGGACACAGGAAGTCTGCAGTGACACACCTTACAAGGCACCACTTCCTCACAAAGTTTAACGAGGTTACCTGAGGGTCTCTGCAGTTTTGTTTCTTCACCAGAAGACCATGAACAGTAGCCACGGAAGGGCCTATGTAGCTTTCTTAGAGACACTGCCTTGCGTTTCCCATTGGACTCAGAAAGCAAGTTTGAGGGAATCAGGGGTAAAAGACAAGAACCAAGGGACTGCCACTGGAGCCAGAACGTCTTGCATCAAATGCTCCTGCATTCTCTAAGACCCACCTGGAGTGTCCCAAAGGACCCTTAGGTTCCTGCACTTTCAGCACAGCACTGTACGGAAATGATTACTGCTGGCTGAGTCAACTTGGTCATGAAATCAGGAGTCTTGGCGGTCAGCAAGGACAATGAGCAAATCTGAAACAACCAAGCCCTTCCTCCTCTCCTGCAGCAACAGTGCCAACAAGAGGTAAAGTGGCATGTGTTCGCCCGGAGTTTGGTTTTCTCCCGGAGAACAGCCCCGACTGCGGGTCAGGTGGGGACGGCACAGACAGGAAGTCCCCTCACTGCCGAGAAGCCCCAAAGAAAGGCTTCTGCTCTTCATAAACCTGGGTAACATGGGGGAGGCAGAGGGCAGAAAGTCCAAGTGGAAGGTGGTACCAAAGGGAGGTACCTGGCAGTAAGCAGTGTGTCTGTGACTACGGCTGGTGGGCAGCCCTGGACCACAACTCCCTGTAGATACTACAGTACTGGTGGGCAACAAGTGGGGTGTAGGCAGGGCAGTCTCTCCCTGGAGGCCTGACAGGGAAAGGCTTGTGATTTCCTAGGACCAGACCGGAAAGGGTACACATAGGACTTGGCTTAGCATCGGACCTCTCAGCTGCTGTAAGATGGTCTCATGCTAAAGCTGTAACGCTAAAAGATACAGAGTATGGCCCCAAATTCAGCACCCACTCGGTTGTGGTAAAAGCAGAATGATTTGAATAACAAACAAAAAGCAAACTATGTAGGTGCTATAGAACAGGAGGGAAAAACCAGGGGGCGTTCTGCCACATTTCTGATCTTGTAAATGTCAGTAAAACTCTTCTGAACATAATTGTATTTCATACATAAATAGCACTTAAAATAACTCCTGGAATACAATGAGTGCTACATAAGCATTGGCCATTACTGCCTCAGTTCTATTATTATTATTACTAAGATTAGAGTTAGCACGTAAACACTCAGGTAACACCAGAATCCAAAATCAAATTATGATTCAAATAAAATGTGTATACTCACGAGTCATCTAAATCTGGTATGACACTCTTACTGAAAGCCGTATCAAGCAACATAACTGAAAAACAGAAAGAGAAGACTAAATGTATACTTCTGGTTTATCATTGGCTTATACTGTATGCTCAGTCAGCTACGCCGTATGTTTTTTGTTGTTATTTTTGATGTTTTCAGCAAAATACCCATCACTGATCCACCCCAGGTACAAGTGAGGCAAACTCCCATCTGCTCAATGAATACGCACTCTGCACTGTGCACTGTCATTGCACTGGGACAGGGAAGTCCCACGGAGCAGGGTAAATGGAAAACAGAAGGGGTCTTTTTCAACGTATTTTTCCCCTCAGCCTGTTTTCGCATTTCATCATTCCACCTGTTTGCAGTGAAGACAGAAATTGGTCTAGATTTCTCCTTTTCCGTCGGTACCTCTAGCACTTCTTCAATAAAATCTCCAAATCCAACGCAAAACACAATTCGTTTTCTATTTTTTAAAAAAATATTTCATAGAAACAAAACCGAGGCGCCTCTCCAGTGCTCACTGCTGGGCAGTGCCTGGCCCTCCACAAATGGCTGCGGAGAAAGTGAGCGAGGCGAGGCGACAGGCGGCCGACCCGGGGCTGTCGCCGTCACTGCACGACCGCAGCGCTCAGATCCTGGTCTGTCCTTGACCATCCCTCCCTCAGCCCTCGGGCGATGAGAACCCTCCAAACACCAGACTCAGCCCCTGGAAACCCAAACCGAGATGTGCGCGGCCACAGCCTGGGAAGGTGTCACCCTGCTCGGCTGTCAGGGAAGCCGGGCTACAGACCCCCGTCTCAAAGGACAAGGACGGCGCATACTTCGGGGTCAACGCATCTCCTGGGGACAAGTACCGGGTCTGCAGGGCGGGGCCGGGTGGGGGAGGCCTGGAGGGGTCAGGTGGCCGCAGGACGGCGCACAGCAAGCACATCCCCGGGCACCCCCTGCCCAGGGCGACCCCTGCCCACCGTCCAGCGCGCGGACATACCTGTGGCGCAGAGGCCCAGGGCGGCCGCGCTGCTCGAAGCGGCCATGCTCGCCGCAGGAGCCGACTCCGCAGTGGCTGAGGTGACGCCGGCGCCGGCCGCTGCACTCCGGAAGGGGAAGCGGGCTCGTCCGCGAGTGGAGCGGAGACGAGCTCGGCGCCGACGGCAGGGGCGGGGCGGCCCGGCCTCCTTTCCCTTCCGGACCGGCGGGCCACTTCCTCTGAGCATGCGCGGAGCATGCGCGGACGGCGGGGGCGGAGCGGGCCGCCTCAGTTCTCAGGCGGATCCCGCCAGCCTCTGGCTCTGAGCATGCGCCGAGCGGGCTTCTTGAGCGAGGTGGGAAGAAAAGGTTTGGCTTAAGGTGGTGGTGGAGGATTGTGTGCGTGAAGTGACGGCGAAAAACGTAACTACTCGTTCTTAACTTAGCATTAAACTTTGTGCTGAAGGTGAGGGAGGCTCTGACAACGCACTTGAGTTTGAATCTTGCCGGCTTTTACCTGCTACACCTGTGCCCACCTGTGCGTCAGTTGGTGGATTGGACTTCTGAAGAGAGGCGTGGGTCACCGTGCTGTGTGACCCTGCATCCGGTTCGGAATCTTATTTCCAAAATGTGTTTGGGAGCTGTTTGAACCTGTTAACCAAAATTGGGCGTGTCTTTTAAGTTCCTTTGATGCATTTTTGCTAACTAAAGGAGTCCCTTTTGAAAAATTCTTTTTCTTGAAAACTGAAAAAGTGGTGTATATTTAATGTTTTTTAAAATATATATTTTTTCAATAATGTTGTGTTTTAGGTGGAAGTTTACACAGCAAATTAAGTTCCCGTTTAACGATTTCTGTACACATTGTTCTGTGCTACTGGCTATGATGTTAGTTCTCATTTCATTCTGCTTGCACTGTTTTCCTTGATCTAGCTACCCTTCCCCTCCTTGCTTGCTCATCATTGCTTTTGGGTACATGTTGACCGTTGGTCTCATATAGTTGATTGTCTAAGGGAGCACATTCCTCACTGCTGATAGTGTTTATTTTATAAACCAATCTTATTTGGCTGAAAAATGACCTCCAGAAATAACTTGTCCAAGTTCAAAGGATATCTTAGAACAGTCTCAGGGGTTGCTCTAGTCTTTATTGGTCCAGTAGGTTTGATCTTTTTTTAGGAAAACAATTTTTTTTTCCTACATTTTCCTTCAGACTATGCGGGACCTTCTGTTGTGTCCTTGGGCAGAACAGTGAGTAGTGGGAGCTGGGCACCCTCTAGGTCTTCTGGTCTCATTAGAAGAGTCTGGTTTTTGTGGGGCATTAGTTTGTGGGCTATTTCTTGGAAACTTTGATGTTCTTCATTTTCTTGTGTTCCACGTGAATAATGACCAACAGTTACATCTTAGATGACTGCTCTCAAGCTTCTAAGACCCCAAACTAAGAGCTAGAACATTATCTTTATGGACTGTGTTATGCCAATTGACTGATATATTCCCCCAAGACTGGCTCTAAGCCTTTTAACCTGGTAAACCTGTCCTGCAAGTTGTTTGTATATGTCTAGGTAGCCTCCATGGGAGCTCTGGTGGCGTAGTGCCTACGGCACTTGACTGCTAACCAGAAGGCTGGCGGTTCAAACCCACCAGCTACTCCTCGGAAGGGTAGTGATACTGCCTCGGAAACCCAAGGAGGGGTCGCTGTGAGTCGGGGCCGACTCGATGGCACATAACAACAACAACAAAGGTAGCCTCCATAACTGTGACTCCTATGTGATTCGTTACAACTAAACCAAGTAAGTAATATGACAATAATTGGAGAAAAGATTGAAGTTGTCAAGGATTTCATTTTACTTACATCCACAGTCAACACCCATGGAAGCAGCAGTCAAGAAATCAGATGATATATTTCCCTGGGAAAATCTGCTTCAAAAGATCTCTTTAAAGAACTTAAAGCAAAGATGTCTCTTTGAAGACTAAGGTGCACTAACCCAAGCCAATGTATTTTCAATCACTGCATTTGCATGTGAAAGCTGGCCAATGAATAAGGGAGACCAGAGAAGATTAGATGCATCGAACTGTGGTGTTGGTGAAAATACCAGGACCTGCCAGAAGAACAAATCTGACTTGGAAGAAATGCGGCTGGAATGCTCCTTAGAAGCAAAAATGGCCAGACTTTGTCTCGCCTCCTTTGATCATTTTGTCCAAAGGGCCCAGTCCCTGAGGAAAAATATCATGCTTGGTAAATTAGAGCATCAGCAAAAAAGAGGAAGACTCTTGTGGTGGTTATGTTTTTGTGTCAACTTGGCTGGGCCTGGTTGAGTGGCTGGGCAGCTGCATGTAGTCTTCCCCATGATGAGACTGGTAATCAACTCCATGATGGCATCTACTATGAGCAGCTGAGTAGTTGCCTTAGGGAATGTGGTCTGCTTCCTGTATATAAGCAGAACCCTTTGGGAATGGTCTCCAGCCTATGGCACAGTTGGATCCTGTATATAGCCGTGTCATGCACGATCCTGTATAGTAGCCTGCCATGCTTTGCCAACCTTGGGACTTACAATGGACTTAAGTTAATGGCCTGCTGTGTGGTTTGGCAACATCGGGACTGTGCATTTTTACTTGTCAACCTTGGGGCTTCTCAGCCTCAGCAGCCAGCAGCTGTCTAAGTGAAGAAATGACTGTATCTCCAGTGTGCCGGGAGCAGGAGGCAGAGCTGGACCCCATGGTTGAGGGGCTTTTACTCAGCCCCTAGAGCCTGGCACTTTGAACTTGGGCTTAAAGCCTCCAAATTGTAAGAATAAACTCCTGTTTGTTAAGACCATCCCATTTGTGGTATATTTCTGTGAGAGCAGCACTGGGGAACCAGAACAACCCTCAATGAGATGAATTGGCTGCCGCAGTTGGCTCAAGCATAGCAAGGATTTTGAAAATGGCACAGGACCATGCAGTGTTTCATTCTCTTGTATATAGATAGGGTCACTGTGAGTTGGTGCCAACTTAATGGCACCTAACAAAAACAACTTACAGGTAGCACACACAAACGTTTCTATCCATATGCCTACAGATACACCTGTACAGGCACACACATTTACTCATGTGCCTTCCTGTACAGATACATGCATACATACCTACCTACATAACCATACACATCTTTTTGTTGTTGCAAAATTGTATATGCTATAGTATTTAGTGAAATTGTCCCTTTTTCTTTTGTACTACTTTGGATCTCTATTTACCTTGGTCCAGTTATGCTGCCTTCACCCACATTTGGTATTGCCTTTGGACTGTCTAGAAAGTGATTCCCTTCCCTACCCACCATCCCTGATAACCATCAAAGAACTGTGTGCATATCCGTTCTGACTTTTCTAATAGTGGGTCTGTCACAGATTGAACTGTGTGCCCCCCAACTTTGTGTTGACGTGGCTGGGCCATGATTCTCAGTGGTTTGGCAGTTACATAATGATGTCATGTGGCAGATATGCAAACACTGCATCTGCCTTTTCTATAGGACACCTAATACCAGGGGATTATGATTACTTGAACTCTTGAAAAATGTGGCTTGTGAGGCTAGAAAGGAATGATGAGGTCAGCCGGTTCACCTTAGGTTCAAAATTCCAGCAGACAAAAATGTCATCAAACGTTGCTATTCCAAGTGACTGGAAAGATTGAATTACCATCTGCTTGTGAGCAAAGTAGCACTAGTAGCACGGTGATTAAAGTGCTCAGCTGCTAACCAAAAAGGGAACAAGCCCTGGTTTTCACCCCTTTATGCGCACGCCATAGTGTCCAGTGCAGGCCTATAGCAGATTCAAATAGCAAGTTTTAAAAAGCAAACCAAAAATGAAGTAAACTAGTAAAGTGGTAGGAGCCCTTGTGGCACAGTTAAAGAGCTCAGCTGCTAATTGTAAGGTCAGCAGTTCGAACCCACCAGTGGCTCTTCAGGAGAAAAATGTGGCAGTCCGTCTGTAAAAATTGCAGCCTTGGAAACCATATGGGACAGTTTTACTCTGCCCCATAGGGCCATTATGAGTCAAAATCAACCTAAGGGCAGTGGGTTTAAAGGAGGTGGGGATGTTTTATCAGTGCTGGTAAAACAACCTCTTTGTCCTGGGGACTTGACATCCTGTCATGCAGAGAGTCTCTCATTTTCTCGGCAAGGTCTTGAATCACCCAGCTCCATTTTTTTTTTCCCTCTTCATTCTCATCTAGTTCAAAATTCCCTGTTTTCCACAGCATGCAAAATAATGTACTTTATGTTAGAATTTGCATCATACCTTGAATTTCCATGTGAAGGACAAGAACACCTCTTGACCTAGACCTGTGCATTTCCGAGCAGCCACTGGTGCATGAAGCCTGAGCTCTGCAGTGTGCCAAGTGTAATGGAATAACTGGATGCATTTTAATAAAGTTCAGTTTGAAAACTGATGATTCACTTATTGGAAAACTTTTCAATAGGATTGGAACAAACTGACTATCCATCTACCTTCTCGTGTTTTGTTGAATCTAAGTGTCAGTTAAACACTTGTGATGAAAATTTAGAGTCTGGAGTGAAAAGTACACAGGGCTTTGAAAACTTTCTGAAGAAGAATGTAAAATGTCTCAATTGCTATATTGATTGTATGTTGAAATGCTAGTATTTTGTATATATTTGTGTGGTGATTAAGGTTGTGTGTCAACTTGGCAGGGCCTGGTTGAGTGGCTGGGCAGCTGGATGTAGTTATTCCTCGTGGTGAGATTGGTAATTAAGTCCATGGTGGAATCTAGTGGAGCAGCTGAGTATTTGCTTTAAGGATGTGGTCTGCTTCTAGTATATAAGAAGCAACTTTGAAGAAGGTCGCCAGCTTATGGAATGCTTGAACTCTTCATGCAGCCAAGTTGTTCAACAGCCTGCCATGCTGTGCTGATTTGGGGACTTCTGGACTTGAATTAGTGGTCTGCTGTGTTGTTTGGTAACATTGGGACTATGCCTTTTTACTTGCCGACCTTGGGTTTGTCAGCCTCACCGGCCAGCGGCTGCCTGAGTAAAGAAAAGCCTTCAGCTTCAGTGGGCCAAGAGCAAGAGGCAGAGCTAAAGCCCAAG